AAAAATTTCTGCTGGATAGCAAGGGGGTAGGCTGGGAGAGGGAGGGGGTGGGGGGTAAGGGAGGGGACTGGGCAAGGGGGGAGAAATGACCCAAACATTGTATGCATATATGAATAAAAGAAAAAAAAAGATGGAAATTAATGCCATTTTATAATTTGTAGCTTTTGACAGTCTACAGCATATTTGTCTTTCTTCCCATTTGTTAGCTCTGTTTGTTTTCTAGGAACTTAATTCTGCAAAGCTTTCATTCTTATGAAGTATCACATAGTGATTCTGATGAAGAAAATATACTTAACTTTTTGTAACCAGAATTAATTATATGTCCATAGATAAACTTCCTATGTCTGCCATGATATATTTCAGTACAATTAAGAATACTTTAGTTCTTTGCTGTGATATCTGCTTGTAGTGTGTGTAATAATTACTCTCTTCAATATAAATGTTCTGATATTTGAAAATCTCATTACCAATTTAATCTTATAATAAAGAAGTGAGATTTTATTTCAAGCTACATACCTTATCCATGTAAGAATGTTATTGTGCCTTGTTAAGCCAGCCGCTCTATCATGTTCTTTGCATGCAGGCTGTTGAAACTATTGTTTCCCTGCCGTCTTCTCTTAAAGGTTAGGAATGCGAAAGGGAGAGTGAGATCTGTTGTTTTCACCTTGCTTATATTACCTTGTTCAATCTTCAAAAATAATCTTAATGAGTTGGTACCTTTTATCCCAAAAATTACGTGTGAAAAACCATCATAACTTTGGGCAGAAGGCTACAATTCTGTGATGATTAGGTTCCCTGCATGTACAATATGGATGTTAATAATAACATGAACTAATAGGTGTTATTGTGAGAATTTAAAGTAGTACCAATATAATGCATAGAATATATGTAACTTCTGACAATTAGTTGTTTTTCTAGAAATAACAATTGTTACAAGTGGTAAAATCAAAAATTATATAATATCAAGTATAAAGGGAGTGTTTATTACATAATTAGTCTTACATTTAAATATATCTAACTCCAGTTATAAAAGAATCAATTGATGAGTTAATCAGTAATTAAAAATTACTGATTATAATTAATTATAATTATAATTATAATTTTGGCAAATTATGGGCAATTTTTTTTGTTCGGGCTTTATGAAATTATTTAAAGGACAGATGTATTGATATAGCACAAAAGGTCTTGTCTGGTTTTACAGATAATTATATTTTGTCTGATAATCTTTAATTTATAGGCCACCAAAGAAATTGATAAAGTGTCTCCTGAAATATTAATTGTGTGTCCATTATGGACTCAATATTGCGCTGTGCTTAGGGGATACGTAATAATAAATGGAGACAGATTTGTTTCAAAATGTGTGGACTAATAGCTCTGTTTTAAAATTGCCATTTTTATACTTGGTAGGCTTGCTATAATAGGCCCAATATGAAGAACTCGATTTCAGTTTACTGGATGGGAAGCAAAAATCTGGTAATTTATAGTGAAAGCATGAAACTTATTCACTTCTTTTTTAACCCTGGATTATGATGAGTTCTTGAGTGATGTGGTCATAACATACTCCCATAATTTGGGAGGAAGAGAGAGATTTATTCCGTTTTACTTGTGCTTTTGTTGCCAATTACAATATTATGAGTAACCTATGAGAATACCTTTGGCATGTTCTTTCTTATTAACATCGCTACTCTAAAAACCAAAAGTGCAGGCTATGTGCTGTACATTTAAGAGTATCTGAAAGACTTGAGTTGGAATATATATGGTTATGACATTAGGATAGCAGTCTCAACGTTTTCCTGTCAGAGCTTCTCTTCTTGCTATTTCAATTATGCTATTTTCAGTATACTATGAAAAGGTTTAAATTTCTATTTTCCCAGCATATGTTTCCTTGGTTACATTTTATTAACTGATTGACATATTTTGATTAGAAAAAAAAACCCTTTCCTATGAAGATTTGATTATAATTGTAAAACTTTTTAAACTCCATTCCAAAAGTAAATGGTGCATTTATCTGAAATGAAATGTATATAAATAAAAAATCATCAAAGAGAAATCTTTAAGCTGTCATCTATTTGATTGCCTATTGGCCTATTATATCAATAATTAATGTATAATATTACCATATAATGTTTCTGATTGATGTTTCTACTAATTGTTAAACATGGATTACTCAGTACTATTTCTTAATTATTTTCATACATTCTCTATAGCATTTTTATAATTTCATACTAACTGACTATGAGAATACCAGCTCTAAGTTATTCACCAATAGTGATTCGAAGTTATAAAATTCTGATCTTGTTGGCATAAACAAAGGATTGATTCATGCCCATTACCCACTACCAAGACAAGGTTAATTTTGCTCATCCTTTTAAAGTTATTTAATTACGTATACAAATAGGCAGTTCTCCCTAAGCAAATCATAATTTTATCTAAATTAGAAAGAAAATAAATTAAGACATATTCATTGTACTAAGGTTAGTATTTTGAGATTTTTATCTAAAAGAAAGCACTTCTGAATTAAAGTAGTTGCATAACAAACGTCTCTGCACAGATTAGTTTATACAGTAAATCACATTTTGTGCTTAATATGTTCTAGGCATTACAGTCTCTTGTATGTAATGTAAGATATTATTATGTATATTACTATCTGCAGAACTTTTCAAAAGGATTTTTTAATTTGTAATCATAAAATAGAATATTTCTTCATATTTTTGTTTTTCAATTTTATTTGGGTTTTATATTTGCAGAGCGCCCTCTTCACTACACAGAAAATGTGCTGGAGCAGGTGCTTCAGTGGAGTTCATTAGCTGAACCTGGTTCTGCTTATCTTGTGGTGAAGAGATTCTTGACCACTGACACAATTAAACACTGCAGAGGTAGGTGCCTTGCTTGCCATTGCAAAGGTGGTTGGAAATTCAAATGACTAACGGGTAATTATTAAGACACAAGTGATGTTTGAGAATGCAAATAAGAGTAGCTAAATATAGAATGTGATTACATGGTAATTAAGGAGAAAAAGAATGGGCAGGTGAAAATTTTCCTAGCATGTGGCATTTTGGTAATAGATAATTTGATGGTTCCAAGTTACACCTTTTGGAAGAACAGTTCATGTTTTTAAGGGGTTTTTTGTCATAATTGTGCTTATGTGTGTTCCAGTTTTTAGATTGGTGGTGAGTCATCTTGAGTGCTTGGCCTGTGTCTCAATTTTTTCTCAGTGACAATTGGTAATCAAATAAGTATAAAATAAAACACTTCCAACAAGTATATTCCCTATCCAACGGGAAGGAAACAGTACACATTTGAAGATTCAATTAGAAGTTAGCTAGCACAAACCAACAAAACAAAACTATCTCTGAACATGTTAGAGTTACCAGAAATTTTTATTTTGAAAGTTTTTTTTCTTGAGTTGTTCTGTCATCACTTAACATCTTAGAAAAACATTTCAGCCAGGCTTATATATAAACCAACCTCCAAAGCTAAGGATTTAGTATGAAATTTACTACAATTTTGATAAGTAATATTAATAATAATCATTACTATTTATTAATCACAAATTAGTACCTAAGCTCTGTAAACACTAAAGATCATTTAAACTTTTAAAAAATTGCCCCGTCAGCTATCTTGTTATTTTATGAATGAGGAAAAAAAAATGAAGATGAAGAAGGTAAATAAAACTTGCCAAGTTACTAAATATTAGTTTAGGGTGGCACTGGAGTTTGAACTCAAGCCTCTCCTTTGCTAGACAGCCACTCTACCCTTTGAACCATGGCCCTCACCCCCACTAAATATTAGTTTGAAAAGATATTGGGCTGGTCTTTTAGCAGTAGAAGTTTAGCCTGTTGGAGACCTTTATCTTATTTTAAATATTTCTTTAGTACTGCTACATACGATTTTGAACTGCATTCTCTCCATAATTAAAGATTATGATAGAAATTCTTCCTAGTCATCTGATCGTATCATGTATCTATGTCATAGAGTAGTGGTTCTCGTCTAAGAGGTGGTTTTGCTACCCAGGGACATGTGGCAATGTTTGTAGATATTTCTGATTGTCACAACTTGGGAGTGGGGTAGGGAAGCAGAACTTCTGATATTTAGTGAGTAGAGACAAGGGATGCTGCTAACGAGCTTGAAAATACAGGGCAGTTCTTCAGTAGTTATCTAGTTCAGAAGGTCAGTGGTGCCAATTTTGATCATCTATGAAATATGTTCTAGCTCTCAAAGTCTGCTATTCTTTCACCATAATATTGGAAAAAGGAAAATCATTGGAGAAAAATTGGACTGGATTTTTAACTCAGTGGTAGAGCACTTGCCTGACAAGTGCAAGGCACTGGGTTCTATTACCAATGCCATTAAAAAAAAAAAAGGTATTGAGCTTATGAACCCTATCCCTGAAACATATAGGATAACTTCCCATTGAAGAAATTATTTTTCCATCCAATTTTAGCTTTCTGGTGACAATGTTCCTTTTCAATATTCTTCCAAAATATCTACTCTACATTGCAAAAATTGTTGAAATTGACACCTACATATAATACTTTAGCTGTTATTTGAATGTTAGGAGAATGGCTATAAGAATAAAAATACATTAGAAATCAGTTTAAATGGATATAATAGAAAGGAAGGTTTTGTGCACATGGTGGTGGGGGTAACCAGAGCAAGGATGCTATTCAGTGTTGTTAGTCTTTGAACAAAAAATCAGTATTACACATATTGAGCTTTCTTCGAGAAATCCCATGTGTGTAAAATCCTTATGTTTCTTAAGGGAAAGGAGAAACCATGCAATGACAAACTGGACCTTGGCTCTCTCAAGGAACTGCATAGGACTATTGGGTATTCTGATAATACTTCATATATTCCATTACGTCCATTTGATGGGCTATGGAGTTAGTCATTCTGTTAGGAAAACATCAAATCTATCAGAGCTAGACAAAGCATCTTACACTAAAACCAGAGAACTTAAGAGGAAAGAAAGCAGCAGGCTTAAATGGTGTTTAATTAATGCCTCTTGGGGGAATATTTTGTGATAGATTTGGGGTAGGTTAGGTTTTTATTCTACTCTGTCTCTGTCTTGGTGAATGCCTCCTAAATCCATCACAATGATCACCTCCTCCAGAATTATTGCACCACTCACTACTTGGCCAACCGGGATCTAAAGGGAAAATACTGAATGTAAATCAAACATGATTTCTCTGACAATTTGTTAGCAGAAAACTTGGAATCATCTCAGAAACAATTGTTCTTCAAAGCAAGAAAGATTCTTAAGATTTTTTTAGTCTATCTTAGGGACCAACTGAAAATCAGCAATTTGAAAACAAGGTTGGTTGCATGCAACTGTTTTCTCTGAGTAACAAATAACTAATGTGTTAACAAGTAGTTAAAGCATAAAGTTGAGACTAGGAGCCTGGGACAGTGATAGAGTTCATTCTGGCATGCACAAAGCCCTGAGTTCAAAACCCAGCACCAAAAACAGGAAAGAAAAAAACCATAAAGTCGCACAACATCCTGTGCAGACTGCCTCCTCCCCTTGTATTAGGTACCTAGTTGCCACAAATTTTAGTCTCTCTGTCCCTGACCTTATGTTTATCTCATATGTGTATACATATGTATATTTGTATACATATACATATAAACATACATACACATTACTTATACTTCATTAATTCTGTGATAGTTTTTTGTGATTTTTATGGAATGAATTTTAGCATGTACTTCTGTTTGTTAGAATGCTTTCATCAATTTTTCCTAAATCAAGAATTTTATCATATAATAAGTATTTGCTATAGTTTAGGTGTTTAAACTTCATCATTTTTCTCACTTTATCTAAATCATTTAAATGTAGACAGCATCGGTATGGATAGATTTTAGACTCATCCAATATTTAATATCTTCTCATTCATTTCAGGTAATGAGATACCATAGTTTACCTTTATAGCAGTATATGTGAGTAAAAGATTTCTCTGTTGCCTCTATTTAAAAATCAATTCTGTGTTTTTCAATAGCAGCATTTTATGTCGCAGAAACATTTTGTTCCATTGCCATTATCGTAATGAGGAGTTAATTAACTTGAAAAGAAATATAATAGTCCTCAAATTTCATTTCTACTCCATGGATTAAAAGCTAAGACATTTAGGTATAATAAAACTTCATTTAAGTTGCTATTTAGACTTTGTCATAGCTATCCTTAATAGGCCATCTCTTATTATCATCTGTTACATTAAATATCAACATCTCCATCACAAGTAAACTGTAAATTTTGTCTTCTGAAAGGCTCTGGAGTAGTTTTATATTATTAAAGTCTTACTTTAATCATTAATAGTCTCTAAAATTACTACACTAGAATTCCAGTCATGAGAATAAAATCTTAATGATCTAAATAGGAAAGAAATACCTTAAACATGTAAGTTGTAACTCAAATACAGAACCCTATGTGTTTGTAAATTTAGGTTGCAGCATAGGACAAAAGTTTGGGATTAATTTTATTTTAGAACAGTTAAAAATGTAACTGCTTTTGGCAAATTCAAACCTGAAAAGTTAAGCCCTTCACTCTCAATAAAGAAAATTTCAGCAAAAATGATATAAGTGCATAATTCATAGCTTAGCTGAATTTATTCACATTCCATTCACATCAAATCTTTTAAAATCCAAAGATATGTAAAAGGTTGAAGATTAAGACCTAGCCCACTTCAAGAGGAAGTATTGTCTTGGAAATTAAATTACAGTCCTTGATACTCAGTGTAGACTATGAATGTCCTGACTTTTTCTGATAGGAAAATTCTCTGGTGGGGAAAAAAAAACAATTGGTAAGTTTTATTAGCTATCTCTTTCATAGAGGAAATTACTATAGAAAATTTAAAGGATTATAAGCATTTTCTTTACCCAGAGGGAACAGAAAATCTAAATGTCTATAGCCTATTTAAATATAAGACTACAAACACAGCATGCAATAAATGACTATTGTGGCCAGGATGTTTATAGAGAGCTTTCAAGCACAGAAAAATAGTTCGACTGGATTATTACTGACATCCCTTCTAACACTGAATATCTCTCATTCAAGAAAATATTACTGATTTAGTTTTCTTGCCTCTGTGTAGAATACAGACTTCTATGTTCAGTACTAAGCAGACTGAATTCTCATTCTAGTATGATTGCTTTTTAAACTTGGAAAATAAACTTGGTGAGCCACAATCAGTGTTCATGTTTTAAGTGATGTGATAATGCCTGTACATCCTACTTTGGAATGTTGCTTGAAAATCCCATGAGATTAAATGTACACACACTATGAAAATTCTAAAATGTTATCCTGGCACCAACTTAGGAGCATGCTGAAAACTACACCCTCACATCCAAATAAAAATTACCTGTTACACTAAATTTATTTTAGAAATGGTTTGTTGTAATTCAATGTAATAATAAAAACAGAAAAGTAGTTTCATTTTCCACAATTTTCTGCATTATCAGTAAAATAGCAAAGAACCGCTGGCATTTTTCTAGTCAGTCCTGTTCCAGTAGTAACTGTACTTAGAATTTATCTACTTATAAGATGTCCAGTTATCAAAAAATGTCATAAGGCTTCTAATATGTTAACTGTTTCTTTCATACAAGGAACAAAAACAAAAAGAGATTGGGAATGTGGTGGGGAGAACATATTTAGCAGACCCTAAGACATAGATTACTTCTTGGAGTATCACGATATTTTGGTCTCTATTATCCTGAATTTTTATTATCTACTATAGAGTTAAGAACCACCCCCACTGTGTTCTAAAACTAAATATTCACAAGTTAATTTAAAACAGAGAAGTAATTTACTTTCAAGCAGGTATTAGTTATATCCAGTTTGGTTTCTACCCAAATGTAGAACTAAGTTTTATTAAAATGCATTTTGAATGTATGCTATACTATGAGTGAAATACATCAGTAATTTTATTTCCTCCAAATTATAAGGAGTTCTTATGTTGTATGCAAGCAGTACCAAAAGGAAACATGCATCATTGTGAATTTGGAAGAACATTTTAGAGCCTTCAGATATTGCCAAATGACCTGGGCTTGCTCTATTTTCAAGGGGATGTCTCACATTGGAAGCTGCCCATTTATGTCCTTCAGCACTGAGCACATGTAGGAAAAGGAAGAGTGTAGCATAAGGGGTGTTTTTAGGTTATGTTCAGGCCTGATGAAATAGTTTGTACAGGCAAGATCATGAAAAATAAGTGCATTTGTTGTATATTTCCTCATCACTTATCAGATCACATGTAAGAGACAGCAAGAGCTCATAATTAATGTGAGTTTATCAGGTTCCAGATTCTAGATTAAATTCGTTCTCTCCCTCTCCCTTCCTCCCTCCCTCCCTCCTGCTCTCTTGCTCTTGTGCTCTCTCTCCCTCTCCTCCCTTCCTGTCTTTCCTTCCTTCCTTCTCTTTTCCTTTTACTTTTTCATACCATTTTATTTAATCCTCCTAATCTTAGGACTTTCTCCGCTAGCACTTAGTAGAACTTGTACACATGTAGAAACTGAGGTGTGGAGACAATGCATGACTCCTTAAGAGGTAAGTGGAGGAACAGACTTTGGAGTCAAGATTTCTTGAAATCCAGCCTCTTGTGGTCTATCCTTAACCCTTTACTGCCATAAAATCAAGGATAAGGAGGAATAGTATGTTTTTAGGTTGTTACAAAGTTGATCTATGTAACATTGGACTTTCTTTCTTCTTCCCCACTCCCTCTCCTTCACAGAGCAGTTACTTTATTATAATTAGTAGCTACTAGATACAAGTCACTGTTTTTGTTTAATGATGAGCTTATCAAATGGTTTTTAAATTTTTATTTTTTAAAGAGGGGGGTATCAACTTCATCATATGTGTGTTCTATTTAAATATATGTGGATACTGTGTTCTGTTATACATATTTTTTGTGGTGCTGGGCATTGAAGCCAGGATATCAGGCAAATTCCCTACCACTAAGCTACATCCCCAGCTCTTCTACATGTGGTTTTTTATTGGTGTGAATTAGACTGTACACAGTAAGGGGTTTCATCATCTCATTTCCCTGTATGCATATAATACATGTTGATCCTAACCATCCCCTCTGTTACTCCTCTTTATCTCCTCTCTCTCCTAATTTCCTTCCCTGCACCTCCCCCCTTTACTTTTGTAACCTTGGTTGTTTTGTTGTTTTGTTGGTTGTTTTGTTTTGTTGTTGTTGTTTTGCCTTATTTTGTTTTCTCCCAGGATCCACAAATGAAAGAAACATGTGATACCATCTTAAAGGGACTGGTTTATTTTATATGATCTCCAGTTATACATACAATTTTAATGAACTTATCTCTTAATCACAAAATAATAACTCAATGTAATTAAGAGAACCAGTTTTCTTTTCTTAACTATTAAGACCCTTCACTAAGGTGCAATCCAACAAACCACTACCAAGAACAGCAGAGGCTTTTATGATTCAGTAAAGTTAACAGTATGTTGGAATTTGATTATAAGGAGTCAAAAAAGTAGTAAATGAAATAGTACCTACTTGGATACATCCTGGGATCTTTGTCAGGGGAAATTAAGTGCTTTGGGAAGTACTTTTAATCTTCAAACCAGTTGCACTCATAGAAAAAATTAAATGGTTTTTCCAAGTTGCCTGCTGAAGGGTTTCCTCCATTACATTAGTTATGCAATAGCTGGTTTCATTTTTTAATGAGGTAGACATATATGCTGCCTGCCTACCTACCTACCTTCCTTCCTTCTTTCCTTCCTACCTCCCTCCTTCCCTCTCATTACAAGGAAGTTCTCTAAACTTAGAAACTTAAAACTTCATGCCTCGCGTTTATATCACAAGCCACATCATACATGGCGTGACTTTTTCATTAGATCCAATGAGCATTGAATGAGTGTGTAGCAAGGGATATGGCTAGAAATGTTGTTTATGTAGCATGAGAAATATTGGCGTTCCAAAGTTAGGAATTAGAAAAAATTGGTATCTAGAAAGATTAATATGCAAGAAAGGAGTCTATGAGTCTCAGGATTACCAAGAAAGAAGCCAGAGCACACCATGGAGCAGGAGTTCTGTCTAACTTGAAACTCAAGAATTACGAGGCAGATACCATACTACAAATACCAGAGTAGCAGGAATTTGAACTCCAGCTCAAAACTCAGAAGGTACATGCAGGGCATGAAACTTTTACAGTGACAAACTAGAACTGAACTCAAGTCTGAGGACATCTGGACAGTGATGTGGTCACAGCTGGTGTGAACTTTGTGCTGAATCAGATTCTTCTGGAGAATTTTCTGCTCAAAGAGAAGTGGAAGGAGTGAGAAGTATGAATGAAAGAACCCAAAGTTGAGGGACCATATAGGATCTGAGCAGGTTAGAAGTGAGAATTACTAGAAGCCATGCAATCAATAACCTTGATTTTGTTATACGCAAAGTCACACACAGTATTCCCCAAAGTGTATAGCTTAATCTTGTCCATTAATTGGTAGATGTCTTTCTACTTTGTTTAACATTTTGAGAACAGGCCAAAATTTGGTTGGGAGAGCTTACAGTAATGTTATCTCCTTAATATTTACCAGAGTTTCAGATTTAAAATTAATTTTTGTTTTTCCATTATTCTAAATATATATTCCTCTCAAAGCTTTTTCTCTTGAGTCCCTTAATTTATTTTTGAAGATTTAACTAACATACTCAAGTATACATAATAATTATTAAAATAAATTTTAACAAATATGAACTCAAATGTCAGAAATAGTAGTTTTTCACTAGGACTGCTTTCTTTTTGACCTATGAATGCCTTACTTATACAACTAAATATATACTTATTTCTTATTGGTAAAATCTGAAAGGTTTATTATTTGAACAAAAAATTAATGATAAAGATATTGTAAGACTATAGATTCTTTTCTTTGTTAAGAAATATATATCTGTATCATACAACTTGATTGAAACTTTTCAAAAATACTTTACCTAAAATTTTAAGTCCAAGAAATCATTAAGTCCATCCAGTGTTTGCAAAATTGCTTCCTATTCTTATACTTCTTAGCTACAAAATGTCTTTTAACATACTTTTCTATGGAACTGAGTGTGAACAAATTTTAGCACTATAGTCACAAAATAACTAAAAATTACCTGTTGACAGTGTGATTTCAAGTATGCTATCCGTTGCCTATATGTCTGTCATGAAAACTACCAGGTTTGTTAATTACTCTTGTTTGCACATTTGCTTATGGTCAGTTTCATTGGCATGATCAGTCCTGGGAATTTTTGCTTCCCTTTATTCATCCCATGCATGTTTGGGTTACAAGGAACTATTTTTTTTTTTTTTTACAAGGAACTATTTTTATAATTTTAGTCTTTGTTTTCTAATTATACTGTAAGATTTTTCTCTCACACAAACTAATTTATTTAATTTATGAATTCTTTCTAAAACCTCTCAAGTTACTTTGTAAATTTTAGAAACTGTGCATGAATTATATAAACTTAATACCAGGAAGTTGCTAAAGTTATCTCATAGTGTTCTGCCCTGCAGTTTTTGTGTTCTGTGTTCAGGAAAGACAGCAATCCTGCAGATAGGTGTCTATACCCCTACTTTACAGGAAAAAAAAGGAGCTGACACTATAATGACCATATAATGGTTGTTTGGCTTTAGTTTCCTTTTTTCTTTTCACTCTTCCTTAATATTTTTCTACTAAGCAGTTGAATATCTGTGTTTCAGGAGAAGGGTTTAGACTGGAGACGTATTTATACAATTATACATGGTAAATTACAAACAAAAATTTAGTATTCTCCCTAAAAATTGATTTTAATAGAATTAGTTGAAATGACTTCAAAGTACAGCACACTAACCATATTGCATGTGGAATATAAGCGTTGTTAAGCACTCTACTAGGAATGTTGACTATCTCATTTTTACAGAAATTTTTCTAATCTCTTAAGAATTCCTGGATTCTTGAGTCAGAATTCCAAAAGATACTTCCTTTTTCAACTATGTATTTATATTTTATACCAGTGCTATTCAAATTGCATATTCAATTTTAAATTGTCTACTATCCACATTTCAAAAAGTATAAAGAAATAGCTGGATTTAATTTTACTATTTTACCAGTGTATTTTATTTAATCTAACATATCCAATATATAATTATTTCATCATGTAATCAACATTCAGAATAGTAGTATTTTACTTTACTTTTCTTTGAACAAAGTCTTCAAGATCTGGTATGTACCTTACAATTCCAGCACACTCAATTCAGACCAACCACATTGTATGTGCTCACCAACCATGGCTAATTGGGCCACACTGGCAGGCCCACTCATGATATAGAGGAAGATTCCTGACAAGTGGTGCGTCCAGAAACTTACCTGAGTCTGCTTCGTGGTTGAATAATAGTTATTACTATGTATTATCAAAACTGAAAAATACATAAATGGTGCATATTGTATTCCAAATAAGTGAAAATGGACCCAACTTACACAAATAATGCAATATTTTGCAGATAAATGTATCAAAGAAGGAGTCTTGAAAATCAAAGAAGAACCAGCTAAAATACTGTCTGGAAATAAATTTCAAGACCGGTATTTTGTTTTACGAGATGGACATCTTTTTCTTTACAAGGATCCAAAGGTAATTGTATAAGTAGGATTTGAACATGTGTACATTTTTGTTTGTATGGTATTAACATTCTTATTTTACACCACTGTCAGCCGTCTCTGTTAAAGCCACTGTCTGTAGAAAATAAAATGCATGGTAAGGTGATGATTTCTTTTAGCCTCTGGGATATGACATTAATGCACTAAATAACCTAGTGAAAAATTTCCTGTGGTCTAAGCACCTTAAATTTTTTGGACAGAGAATGACTTAAGCCCTGAAAAAAAGTTTAATATGTTTTAACCTAAACTAGTATATAAATCATCATTCTAGCCAATAAAATTAAGAGAGAATGCATCATACCTTAAGGCAAAAGAGACTTAAGTTTAGATAATGGGAGTTAATAAAAGGTAGCATAAAAAGGCAAAACCAAAATTATAATAAATCTTAATATCTTTCCTATAATTTGAATAAATTAATTTGTCATACTTATTAACTGCATTTTATGGATTATTCCTTGTAAGTTAAAGGTCCCTAAAAGCTTTTATTAGAGAATTGTGAAGTGGAAAAGAAAACTAGAGAAAAAAATCCTAGAGAGTTATATAAATGAGAGCTATAAGAATATTGGACTTAGCATCAGAAAATCTGCTAAAAGTTGGTTATGTGAATAAGTAACTTAATCACTCAACCTCAGTTTCTGAATCTGTAATACCATGATAATACTATGAGTCCCTCAGCCCAGGGTGCTTTAATATTTAAACAAGAATATGTGTAAAAGTATTTTTTAAAAAGAAGCATCACGTACGTGTGTATATGTGTGTGTAAGCAACAGCATGCTTATCAAAAGGTAAGTCCCAGACTGAACAAATAAATTCATTGCACATGAGTCTTGACAAAGGACATCCAACATAGAAACAACCATTCCAAATCAGCAGTAAGTACAGCTTAATAAACACTGGGGCAAAGGGTTGAATAGACAGTACCTGAGGGAAGAAGTAGAAATGGTTAATAAGACATGAACTGTTTTACACTGTTGGTATGATTGAAACCGTGAGTTGGACAATGTTAAGAAGGATATAGAGTAGCTAGACCTCTCAGAAGTGTTGGTGGAGCAGTAAAAATCACACAATTCTGTATAGGACTTATTTGGCAATTTAAAAAGTAAAATCACCCATTTTCCCCATGACCCAATAATTCTATTCCTAGATATTTTGTTCACAAAAGCACATTCACAGGAATGTTCATTTGCAACTTTATTCACAACAGCTAAAGCTTGGGACATTCCAAATGTCCATTACTAGGAGAATGACATAGTCATTGAATACTACTCATCAACAAAAATGAATGTGGTTTTTTTTGAGATAGGATCTCACTATGTACCCCAGGCCCACTATGTAGTCCAGGCAGGCCTTGAACTCATGATCTTCCTGCCCTAGCACCACCACACCTGACCCAAAATGAATGAACTCCAGTGTATGGCACAACACTGGTCAGTCTTTAAAACTTTAATGAACAAAATCTTGACACAAAGTTATATCGCAAGCAAAACTATTCTATGGTTAGAGAAGTCAGAAAATTTTTGCCTAAGTTGGGAAGAAAGGTTGCCATGGAATTGCCAGGGTAAATGTCAGTGGGATACTTTTTAGATAGACATGCTCTTCTGTTTTCTTTTGGGTGGTGTGGTCACATGGAACGCCTTCTTTATGATCTCAGTAGCACTGAGGCATGTGTTTTAAACGGAGAATGATGGCTGGACCTTGAGATTACTTTTTCATATTGAAGTGTAAAATTCACTTGAGTAAACAGTGCTTGCTTGCCTACTTAGAGTATCACTTCACTGTGTTCTTCTGTGAAGATGTACAATGAAAGACTGCATAAAAACACAGCTGTTAATATATACAAGAAAAAAACATGTTAGGCATCTTTTCAAGGATGCAGCCCTCTTTTTTATTTCAGTTGAGCTTTCCACATGCTCTAAGTACTTTCCCTGTATATTCTTTCAGCCAGGAAGCCTTTGCATGAAAATAAATAAATCAGAGTAGGATTCCTACTTTGTGTCTATGCCTCATGTTTGTTTTCTTCAAGGACAATGGAATGTCCATCCAGGAGGCTAACAAAACAGCCCTGAATTCTGTAGTCCTTATCCCTCTTTTCAGAAAGTTGTATTGCATACTGTACTTGAACCCCTACCTTATTATTCCCCCTAACAGGAGGGATTCTGCCTGAGTATCAAGTGGTTGTTATTGTTTGCTCTCTTCCTTCAGTTTTACCAGTGGAGGAATAGTAGAGTTTGTAGAACTAAGTCATGTAAGTATTAGAGTTATGTGAATGGAGCACATCAGATTTTAAGGTTCATGAACTTTGGATTTGTGTTTGTGAAAGTAAAGGCTAGACTTCACAGCTGATTGTTGTAGTCATTGAAAGCAGAATGCAAGGACTGGAAGAGAGGATCATGAGGTAGAGCGCCTGCTTCGCAAGCATAAGCCCCTTGAGTTCAAACCCCAGTACTGTCAAATAACAGAATATGATATTTTTTTTTGTCTAATTTTCTGCTTTCATGGGCCACCAACCTTGATCTGATATCCTTAATCATTCTTCCATACACATAAAATGATGGTTTAGAGGTATGTTTGCAGTTGGATGTCAACCAGGAGTATTTAAAAATCAATCCAAACATTTTAGTCACATCAAGGCACTGAAACCTTGCATTTTGCATCCACAGAAGGCTGTTAGAAACAACTAGTAGTCGGTGGTAGCAGTGACAGCAGTGTAGTCACAATTGCTTCAAACTAGCATTTAGGTAGTTATTGTACATGAAGCAGAATTCTTTATTTATAATACAAGGATTTAAGCTCAGGGCTTCACACTTGGTAGGAAGGTGCGCTACCACTTGAGTCATACCTCCAGCCCTCTTTTCTGTAGTGATGTTGGAGATAGGGTCTTGCTTTTTGCTCAGGCTAGCCTGGACCCCAATCCTCCTAGTTTGTACTTCTTGCCATCACTGGAATGACAGGTACATTTCACCATGCTCAGTTATTGGTTGAGATGAGGTCTTGCCTGGGCTGGCCTTGAACTGGGATCCTCCTGATCTCAGTCACTCGAGTACCTAGGATTATAGGTGTGAGCCCTTTACACCTGGCGAAGCAGAATTCTGTACATTATCTCTTGGATTATGTCATGTTATCCTTATAATAACCCCATGATATCAGTACTGATATTATTTCTACTTTGCATATAAAGAAATAAGAACCACACAAAGGTATTATATAACTTGCCCAAGTAAAAAGTAAGTGATAGAGTCAGAATTCTTTCCCAGACATCAAATTTGAAAGGTTCTATGAAAGGACATACTAAGGAAAGTTAATTAGTTTACATTACTTTAGCTTGGTATTTTTGCTTACAGGATTTTATGTAAAGAATATAGGTCCTCTTGCGGTACTGGGGTGTGAAATCCGAGCCTTGTGCTTACTAAGTGGGTACTCTACCTTGTGAGCCACAACCAAGCCTGGTTCTTTTTATTAAATAGTATTAAATATAATAAAACATGTTTATATATACAATTCAGTTGTTTATGCTATTTTCCCCCACTCTGATACAAACTTTAATTTGCCACAGGGAAGCTTTTTCATGGAGCAATGACGACTCTTATAGATACTGTCTTTGTGAAATGAAGAATTTCATATCCCTTAACAGAATGTGTTTTATTGTTTTAGGAATTTGTTTACTTTTGAAAGGATCATCATACTGTAAGATAATTTATATAAAGTATACTGCTAAGGCAGTGGTAGTCTCAAGAGTCTATCTGAAGGATAGACTATAAATAGCCACATTTATTTTTCACAGTGACCACAGGTTATAAAATGAGAGTCTAATTATTAAATGCTTGAAAGTTTCATGTGCACATCTGTCAGAATAAATTAATGCAATTGATACTTTAATTTGCACATTTAGGAAAGCAAATGAGAGATTATGTGTTTCTTTTAAGCTCAAACTGCTGTTATTTTCCACATTCCATTTTATTTTGCTGACTGTTTTTTCATGTCACAGGTCTGTTCCTACTAATATTGATAGTTAGGTTATTGCCAGTGTTAACTTTTTACAAGTAATTTCTCAGTAAATAAACAATTGTAAAAATCCCTCATCTTATTTGAGTAAAGATTTGTCTATGTTTTGGGCAGTTTCCATTAGTATATGTGTGCTTGTGTATATTTAGAAAATTATTTAATGAGAAGAGAGTAGGAATTACAAATTGAGAAGTGTATTTGAAGTGACTTTGTGTTAATTACAGATAATTTATGAATGTTCATTAACAACAAATTACAGTAATGCACAGGGGAAGATATATTTTGTTTTGCAAGTTTTCTCTGCACAGAAAATGTTAATTAAAATATTTTCAGAGTTGATTTACATGAAAGGTGAGAGGTTTCAAAGAATATTACCATTACACTGTTAATGGTGTGAAAAAAGCAAATGAGTACGGGGGGTTGTTAACAGTTGCACACGCTAATAAGCAAACTCCTTTTAGCCACAGGAATAATTTTTTAAGCACAGTCATTTAATTGGCTTAGTTAAAAACTTTACTTTGAAATACAGACCTGAAGCAACACATTACAGACTTCATAACAGTCTGGTATATTCAACTTTTTGGAGAAAGAATTCAGAAATTATACATACCAAAAGGGAGTTGTGATATGTTAACAGTAAATTTATCTTGCCAAATAGATTTACTTTTATATAACTTTTCATTAGGCTCTTTGCAGTTCCTCTTTATGCATATTCAGTTTGAAGACTGAAACAGACAAAGATGTCTTTTCACAATTGTTGAATCTCCTCTCCCATTATGCCATTTCTATTACTTTGGATATAACATGATACGAAGTAATGAGCTTGAATGCCAGAGGTGGCTTGGGAATTTGTTTTTACTTTTGACTCTTAATCTGTTAGCAAAAGGTCTTCAAACTGTAGGCAGTCCTGGACATATCAGTGTCCGTATAACTAAAGACTGTACTTTAGGCATGGCGCCTCTCACTTTCGAA